TGATGTGATTGTTAGCAGAAATGTGTCAGCCCCAAGCTCACCGCCACCAACACACCACCACCACCACCAACCAGCACTCCTGTGCGCGCAGCTCCGCTCAGGTTGTAAAAGTAAAGCCCTGTACATGAACATGCATGCCTTCGCGCTCGCGCGCACACACACACGTATATATATATACACAATATACCGCTCAGCCCAGCGTTGCCATGGAGGCTCGGATACCTTATCTTCGTTTCTTCTAGTGGAACAAGGGTAAACTCATTCACGAGGTCGACGGTGAGGAGGGGAGTGGATAACAAGACAGCCAAAAAAGACTCAGAGCGGGTGGCAGACCACAGGCCCATGTGTGGCTATGGAGGGTGAAACCATAGTGGATTAGGCTAGCGTTTGTAACTCTTCATCCTTATGCAAGAAACTGAAAGACATGGGAGGCTAGTGGTGGCTGAGTGAGGATGTGTACGTTACTCAGCAGCAAATGAGTCATCAGTCGGTGAAACTTAAGTCCGGTCACTCAAACAACGCAATCAGCAGTTCTGACACACATTTTGCTCTCATGAAGTTTTTCATCACGATGCTGCCACAAATTAGTACTTATAGTCTTTAAGGTTAGGTACTGATACTGCCTTGGTTCCCTGGCTTCGAACGAGGTTTTTCAAGGGTTTGGGTTTTAAAGGAGCAGTCTGAAAAAAATATACTCCTCTTCTTTTATTATCAAGTAATAAATAATTTTCTCCTGTGATGCTGAAATTTCTGCCGAATAAACTGAGTGCCAAGGATTAATAAGAAGGTGTCATGATATTCAGTTGTTTGTGTTTGGTCATAAATTAGTCATAAAATCCATCCCATGCTTCTGTGAGGCCCGTTAAATCTGCAGATAGGGAAGAGGTGTGTAAACATAAGCACTAACATTCTAAATGAAGGTGAAATAGCGCGCGCGCGCGTGTGTGTGTGTGTGTCTGTGTGTGGATTCATCATTGTTTAATCACATTTAAAGCGCCGCTAGTTTAGTCCTTCAGATCTTGGAAAAGATTGCGCCTTAAACATGAAAGCGCTGCAACTTTTGTTTTCCTTCTGTCTCCTCTCCTCCTGGCTCAGCTCATGATAGCCAAACTGTGGATGGGTTTTCAGCCACAAACCTCACAGACGGTTTTTGGCGCTGAGCATCTGGGCAGCACTTTTCCGTGATCCAGGAGTTCCTGGTTGGACTGGTGGTTAGCCACACCAGCGCTTTCACCTGCCTGACTGCTTAAGTCTTACCAGACTTTAAACGGCTCCAAACAAGTGGCAACATCAGCTCACACACTCAAGCAGCTTAGGACAGTCAGGAGGAAGGTAGGGTGTGTCGCTCTGATTTGTTTGCCACTTTTTCATTTGCACCTGGATGAGTGGGATTTGTAGTTTCTGAACAGGATTTTTTTTTTTCTCATACATAATATTAAGGTCTTTGTGGACCCTAAACACTCCACATTCTGAGTCTATAAGGAGAGGAGTGAGGTGGTGGTCAGTATATTGTTGCTCGGATTTCTTTCGGGGTGTATTAAGAGTTTAAGTTGCAGAGTAAATACTAATTATCCAACATGGTCATCGAGCTTATTTAGACTTTAGTTTTGTTTTTTTGTTTGTCTGCGAGGAGAGTTTTTTTCGTGCTTTAAAGAATATGCTAACATACTCTGTGAAAAGCTCAAAGTGTCCTCTGTCTTGCATTTTCATCAGCTTTATTACTTCCACCATTTCCTGTTTCTCTTGATGAAAAATAACTTTATCCTCCTGGACTTTTCACGTGTTCTGTCATGCTCAACAAAGTACACGTAGCTGTGTATGCAATTTCGGATTTCAAATGCATTGTATTAATTTCGATTTTTGAATTCTTAATTTTATTTTAATATAGACGTGGTTAGTCTCTCTAAATAATTTCGGTTGCTGATGGGATGTATTTTGTTACAATTACATTTATATGCAATGTTTGTCTAAATTTTGGACGTTTGTAAGAAAATGTTGCACATCTTATAATGTAAGTAAGGAAATTTAATTTTTATAGCACGTTTACAATAATAATAATAATTATTATTATTATTATTATTATTATTATTATTATTATTATTATTATTATTATTATTATTATTATTGCAGAAAATCATTACAGTTATTTTTGTTGTTAGCTCTGTAGTGGTTAACAAGAAACTCTTAACTCACCTTTTACCACGTGATCTAAAACTGAGGCATTTTGAGGCAAGCCAACCAATGTGATTGAAAGTGATATTCTTATGATAAGCAATGACTGTATTGTTTTCGAAATTCTGCCAATATGATGACAAATACTAATATTTTAATATATCACTGTTTAGTTTTTATGTTATTTTAAACGGAATAATTATAAAATAAAAGTTTTATGTTTATATTTTATAGATCATTTAACCTTTAAATGCATTTATGTAAGTATCAGCCTATCATTTATATATGTGCGCAAAGGCAAGACAAGCGGAACTTTAGCCCATCTGCGATGTGCGATGCTTACTTTTTAAAGATAAACTCGTTAATAAACACGTTTTTTTCCTTGAGTGGGCTACAAAAAATACAATTAAAAATAAAGTAAAAATCAAAGACTGTTTAAAGACGCTTTCGTTCTCATTTTGATTTCTGTAGGCTTAAAAAATACGTCTTTATCCGCGTTGTTTGAGATGGCTGCCTTTAAACTTTAAATTCATGATTAGTTTGCTTTATGAATTATCTAATCGATTACCGCGGACTCACCGGTTCTCCAGGCCTGAGTTTCGAAGTGTTTTTACCGTTTCATAAATAGCCTAAAACATAAGAACGTAAGATTATAGCTTGTTTTTCTCTTTCACACAGGCTTTAAATTTTGGATTTCATCTACCTGCAGCTCCTGTATGAGTACCTATCGTTTCAAGAGCTCATTAAAAAGTAAATAAACAACCAAAAAACGTTTCATTTTACAGAATGATATGCACAACCTCACACTGCTGGCTTGTATTCCCATTGCTGACATTTTAATTCTAAGACTGTTTTAATGGATTTTTGTTAGACTGCATTTCAATTACTTGTATTTGTCAGCATCAGCGCGCAGACTTCTCACTGTGGACGAGGCCAATAAATAAAGTATATATTTGTTTTATTTCTTCACTCTGCTCACACGTGGCTTGTAAACTCGTGGAGTATCTCTGAATAAATTGCCGTCTTTATCATTTATCAGTTATGCAGTAACGCTGCGTGATAGTCATGTCTGCACTGACAACAGCGTCAGTGTCATTTAAAAGTGCTGTCCGGTCTTCTCCTGCAAACTCTTCGTTTCGCTCACACATCAGCCTGCTCGCTGTTTGTGTGCACACCTGCTGTGTTAAAAGTTACCTGCACCCACTCGACCAAGCAAAAAATTCAACTTTGAGGCGAAAAAATGTGTGGCAGCTTCCCAAAATGTTTTGGTTTTTTACATTTCTTTGCCGGGTTGTTGTGTCTTTAAAATGTAAACAAATAAACAGCCCATCTGACGAACGCGAAGCTTCACGAAATCTGCAAAAACTTCACCGAAATACATTTGAAAACTGGAAAATTATGATTACAAAGTTTAGACGATTTGTTTTTTCTCCGCGGGAAAATGTTGTTACACAAAGGCTATGGCATAAGACTACATCCCAAAAATATGTGTATATTATTTTATCATATGGCAAAGACGAACCAAATTTAGCACTTTTTTCAGTCAAAAAATGGGGGTAAGTGAGCACATAGGCCCACTTTCGCTTTTATCAGGACCAAATTCAAGTTAATTATGTTTATGGCTTTTTCAAAGGCCTCTGTGAGCACTGCTAAAGTAGTGCAAATATCGACGAGTCGCTACGGAACAAACACATAGCTCGAGTGGTGTCCGTGTACAACACTGACTGGTGAGGAAAGTCACCCTGGGGGTGACTACGTAATGAGATAACAGCCTAAAATGCAAATGAGACATTAAAGTGGGCACACTGCAAAAAATGACGCGTTTGGCAAGTTGCAGATTGTCGTACTGCTCCCGTGTTTCTCCAGAACTAAATTTTGTCCTTAATGGTCGAGTTAAATTGTTATTCTTTTCTTTTTCTTCTTCTTCTTCTTCTTTGGTCTTATTTCAGGAGGAACATGAGAATAGAGGGATTTCATCTGCAAAATTCACGCTTAAAAGTTACTAGTTTGGCACTGTAAGTTTGTTCTGTACTTGCAAAGCCATTATAAAGTCAGATAGATACGCATTAGGGTGATGTACAGTATTATGTATACATGGTGCGATACAATTTGATGTAATTTAGGGGGGAAATGCTGTTTTTTACCATCTAATCCCTCTGTGGTGTGCAGGGTAAACCTGTGTGAAGCTAAAGGCCTAAAGATAGACTTCCTCATGTTCACCCCCCAACATGCACACACACACACACAGAAAGAGAGATAACTATATCCCAAATGTAGATGTATTTATTTTTTTCCTCGGTTCTATGAACCCAGCTTGGTTCCTTGTTCTTCTTGAATAATTAACTGAATAGTAAAATAATGGTTTAAAGTACCCAGAGACAAAATTCGGTCGGTAAATTGATATTGTTAATTGCCCAGACATCAGTGCAAGCACAGACAAAACATAGCTTATGATCCTTTTATTAGTCAGTTGTAATAATAAAGAAGGGCAACCTGTTGGCCTATGCCTACTAATGCATGCATGGCTGAGCGTCACGCTTGATGAACTTGATTCTATTGTGTGTAGATCTACGGAGAAGAGACTGGTGCTTAACGGCGCACGAAGCTGTCAATATCAAATGAATTAGAGGCTGGAGAGTGGGATCAAGAAGAGGTTTGGAGTGGATAAATAAGAAGAACTGGGGTGTGTACCAGTAAGGAATTATTGCCGCGGACATAAACCAATGCTCTTCCTGCAAAGGCAACACCTCCCCATCATCCTCCCTCATAGCCCCACACCGGCACTTCTACGTAGCGGACTCAGTTTCCGCTTCGCACGGTTGGTCAGCGACTCGCAGCGGAGAGTTGGAGAGGGAGCGCGCACGAGAGAGAGGGAGACGTAGCTCCTGAAAAACCAGAGGCTGGGAGAGAGAGGAGGGACGGAGGAGGTGACAGACCTGCTCCGCTGGGAATAGGCTACAGCTTACTGCTAAGTGCCATCGGCAGAGTAGGCTCACAAAACGCACCTCCGCTGTAAAATGCAACAATAAGGCACCGAGCAGCGCCGTGTAGCTGTCAGCGAGCTCCGCGAGGATCTGCGTGGTTTTGACTCTGCTGTGTAGGAACTAACTGAGGGGAGAAACAGTGGGGCTTCATGGGGAGTTTGTGCAGCTTCTTCGAGAAAAACGCCTGGATTATCTGACTTTTGATTGATTTCTTATTTTTTTGGACGGGGCGCTGGACGTTTTCAAGGCGATACTGCGTTTCTCTGCTGGGCCAGCTGCAGCCTGCGACCTGTTTTTGGTTTTTAGGTAAGCTGATGCTGATCTGAACCGACTGCGTGTACCCACCGTGACTGCATTTCATAACTCGCCCACATCGTAGTAAATGCTACTCCACGTTGCAGGAATCGCAGCTGTCTGCTGAAGTGACACCATCTGAGCGCAAATGATTTTTTTTTCTTTTCTTTAGGAGGCTCCTCTGCGATTTATTTTTGCTTTGATCGCCGCCTCGCAGGGCAATACAGCTCATGTGTTTAGTTCTGGGAGCATGCAGGGGGGGAAAGGCGAGGGCCTGCTTCAGTGTGTCACAATAAAAGTCCTAATAGTTTAGTAATGTTGTGAATATTGAAGTTATTCTCCTAAGAATAACATATGCCGAATAAAATGACCTGTATTTGTGAAAGACACATTGCACTGAGCAATTATTAAGAGTATTAAAATGCTTTGGGTTTACACTTTTAGCTCATGCCATTAACATGAAGGCTTTCTATCATGTGTGTTATATTTACATATGTTATGCTTTCATTTCTGAGCTATCAAAAAAGTATTTTCATTTCTCCACTTGACAAAATAGTAACAGCAAGAACAATAAATGTGATTACACAGTGAAAATGAAGCTTATTTGTGTGTCTCTAAATTCATATTAACACAATGTCCTGAAAGTCTGTCTTCATTTATCCGGTTAGTTAAGAAGGTCGGGCTGCACACACTGACATCTCTGTTTCCGTCTCCCAGCAGCGACGTGTAGTTTTCGGAGCTCCGGTCATGGCGGACCAAGAGGAGACTTTTGTCCTCCAAAACTCTCCAGGTGGCTCGGATTCGAGAGAATTACAGAGCGATAATAAATCAGAGAAACAGAACGGGACCTCAAGCAAATCCCCGTCATCACAGACAACTTATATCCAGCAGGTCAGTGCCGGCTTGCAGGCCTCACACTCACTGCTTCAGGCTGCAAGCTGCGGACTTAGGGCTCACATTCACTCATTTGCAGGAAAAAATAGCCTAGGCGTTTTTGTCAGAAGCAGGCAGATACCCTGTTGTTCTTGGCGTTAAAATATAAAATATAAATCATGACTTAAAAACAAATGTCCGCACAGTGAATGGGGTATTTCTGCTAATTTTAGTTCTTTCAGCGTATATATTTACGCTGTTTGGAGATAGAAATGTGATTGGATCAAATATTTAGTCCACTAGTGATTTTTTTTTAATTTGTGAAATGAAACAACTTCAGCAAAGTCTCAGCAAGTTTTTAGTTTCTGTTAAGCTTCATAGCGTAACTGTGTGTGTTATAGTTTATAGTCATATAGCATTACAGATCAATTCTGTGTGGGTTTATGTTCATTGCTACACATTAGCTTTGACTATATTATTATAAATTTGTGTTTGCTGCTTCACTTCTCACGGCAAAGGCTGAACAAGTTAAAAGCTATGGTATTCTGGCTGGTTTCAAATTGCTAATTCATAAGCTTATTATTCTCTGCATTATTTACAGCTCAGCCCTCGGCGTACAACTCGGTTGTCCAAAGTATTTGCATTTTATTTTTTAAAGTGTTTTAATCAAACACTGAATATTAGACCTACAGTTTTTTTTTTGTTTGTTTTTTTACAACCTCTGAACTCAGAAGGCCTTAAATGCATGCAGACTAGTGCATGACACCTCTATCTATAATGCAACTTTAGAAAAACCATACACACTAGAATTTTTTACTTTGAAGGGAATGGAGGGAATAAAGGTCTACCTGCACGAAAGGGAACTATGGACGAAGTTTCACGAGGTGGGGACGGAGATGATCATCACCAAAGCGGGACGGTAGGAGCATCTAAAACATTTTCATTATTATTATTATCGCGATTAGAAAGATTTCAGTAGAACCAATGGGTTCATTGACTGTGTGTCTGCTTGTTGATGAGGCTTTTAGTTATCTTGGCCGATTTTCGAGCTTAAATATAAACTATAAACCAGACTGGAATTTTCTTGCGTGGGGATCTGGACCCGTACAGAACCACAGAGAAAACACAAGAGCATCTGGTGGACGCTTTAGTGTTCTGCAGCACTACCGGTCCATATTTTAGTCTGGGTGGCCTTGTTGGGAAATGCGATACAGCGAGAGAGCCAACGTGCAAAACGTGCCCCCTTGTGTAAAATGTTACCGATCGTTTCTTTGCGTTGAAATACAGACATTAAAGAGCATAAGGGCTGTCTTTTGCGCCGTTTTGTCTGTATCCGCTGCAGGTGTGCGTGTGTGTGTAACTGCGTGCAGACACTTCTTGTGATCCAACACGTGTGCAACAGCATGTTGTGCAGGGACCGCGTGAGTGAATGTGTCCTGCTGTCAGCTCCACGGTCGCCCTCAGACTGTATCCAGTCAAAACAGCTCATGTCGCCTAAGTGTGAGCTTTTATATGCGCCCGATGACTTTTTATGTCAAATAGCTTCGGAGCACCGCTTGCACAGGCTCCTACAAATGAGGAATATTTACAGTTGAACGTTGCTGCATTTCGATGTGCTCTCCAGTGCGGGCAGAAGGCAGTTGTTTTCTTACAGCTGCAAAAAGTCTCCATTATATTCCCGTCAATCATTTCACTCCTGTTTTTGGCAAGAGATGATATTACACAGCATCCATCCTCGTCCGTTAGCCCTTCCCTTTCACTCGTGGGAGAGCTTAGTGTTTCTCTCCGTGTATGTGTGTGTTTTCTGCAATATGACAGCTACCAAATATCCAAAAGATTTACTAGAGGGATGTTACACGTATAAAAAAAAAAGGTCTGGAACATATTGAATTTTTTTTATAATGGCTCTTCTCAGATCCAACGCCCTGCCTTGAAAGTAAGATTTTCCTCTCCAAACACCAAAGACGGATATTTATATGTTTTAAATCCTCCCACTTAACCTTTCTCTATGCTTCAAAATATTATTTACTTTTGGTTTGCTTATTAAAGAGTGAATGGCACAGGCTTTATTACGAAAGCATTTGATTTCATATATATATATATATGTGTGTGTGTGTGTGTGTGTGTGTGTGTGTGTGTGTGTGTGTGTGTTAATAGGTGTGAGTAGTCATGTACTTGTTTTTTTCTCGCGTGTCCACTACACTTTATTTTCCTGTACAGGAGAATGTTTCCCAGCTTCAAAGTGAAGGTCACAGGATTAAACCCTAAAACGAAATACATTCTACTTATGGATGTTGTTCCAGCTGACGACCATCGATACAAATTCGCCGATAATAAATGGTACGTAAAAACATAACACAGCAACGCTTCTCTAAAGGGATTTGCCTTGCCAACATATACTTTTACACACCGATGAAAATCCGGGTCATTGTTTTTTTTGTTTTGTTTTGTTTTTTGGTGTGTGTGGTTTTTTTTTTTGTTTTAGTTTTAGTTTTGGGGTTTTTTTGGGGGGGAGGGGGGGTCTCAGCTAGTCTCTCGCTTTCTCGCTCTCTCTGGAGTTATTTGCAGCAGGGAGCGTTATATTGTCGTGATGGACGGGAATCGGAAGTGAATATATTATTTCCGGGAGAATTATTAACTGTGTTTTTTCTAACATTTGCCAAGAAATGAAGTCAGAAGGCAGAAATGTTTCTGTCAGTGCTGAGTTTTCTGCGCTGAAAGCAACGAGATAAACTTTTCCTTGCACTGCATCAAAGATTTTTTTCACACGGCTGTTTGTCTAGAGTCGTTCTCCAAGCGGGTCTTTCTTCTTTGTGTCAGAGCCTTTAATGTTGCTAGCTACATGCCAATGATGCCACTGAAGACGCATTAAGCACGGCCTGAAACTAATTCTCCCCTCGTTTCACATATGTTGCAAAACAGTGCCTTTAACGTCTAACGTGACTAGAAGCAATCAATATTCGACAATGGCACAGTGCAGACCGCTTCCTTATGTACTGAAGTTTAAAGTTAATAAAGCAACGTTTTGAAAAAGAGGTAATCACCCATAGTTTAGAACTTTAAGTGCAGAAAGTCCCATATTGCGCCATTTTGTGCGTAATAATTAGAAACAGTGCCCACTAATTTAAGTTTTCCGTTTATAATAAAATTTTAATTTATTATTACATTTTATCCACAGTCATTATCCTCTGCTTCTTTCGACATGTTAGGACCGACTCAGTTGCGGCTAGCATGTGAGTGTTAGTCCAGCAAGTTTCAAAGCGTGTGACTGTGTTGCTGTGTATCAGGTCTGTGACTGGGAAGGCAGAGCCTGCCATGCCCGGGAGACTCTACGTTCACCCGGACTCTCCCGCCACGGGGGCTCATTGGATGAGGCAGCTCGTCTCCTTCCAGAAGCTGAAATTGACCAACAACCACCTGGACCCGTTCGGACACGTAGGTGCCTGCCTATCATCAATACTATTTAACCACATGATTGCTAACCTGGTGTTGCACTGACCCAAATCCCGAGAATCCGTTAAGGCCCGACGTGTTACATGATGGCACTAAATGCTTATCTGCAGGTCTCTGCATCGCCATTTATATAAAAGTGCCTAACAGATTATTATTATTATTATTATTATTATTATTATTATTATTATTATTATTATTATTATTATTATTATTATTATTATTACTGCTACTCGCAGCTAATTAAAAGTACGTTTTATTGTTTTCTTGAGGTTAAATATTTTAAACACATTTTAAATTGATTAAAGATAATGCTCCTGCCTGGTCATATTTTTAAAGAGAGGCAATCTGTTTATTGATTTATTTATTTGCTTAAAATTTTGCATTTGATCTGTTAAATGTGCATTAAAACTTAAACATAACCTTTCAGTCATTCTTTCACTGCACCTGTGGAGCCCAAACTTTATTAAGTTGCTTCTGTAAAGATGTGTTTTAGTGAAAGTAAATCGTTTGATAAATTCCATCTAACCATCCATCCATCCATCGCTTTGATGGAGGGTATACTTTTTATTATATAGATACATTTATATTTTTTATGTTTTGTCCTTTTTTTCCATTTTTTGTTAACTGTAACTTGCAGTGTTAAAATGAATACGAAAATAGTAAGTAATGAAATGCATTCTGGTGTTGAAAACGTCACAAAATAAATTTTAAATAGTGAAATAGTTGTGGTGTTCAATTAGATGCAAATACTTTTACTTTTATACTACCACCACTATACTGTACTACTGCTATAATAACAACAACAACAACAACAACAACAACAATAATAATAATAATAATAATAATAATAATAATAATAATAATAAGCCTGATATACTTTAAACACAAAAAAGAAATATAGAGGAAATTTTGTGCCATATGAAGGTTTTTTCTACTTTACTTGTCCAAAGTGGAATCTCCTGAGATTACAAAAAGGTTTGGTGATATTCTGTTTTTACTATTGAACATAATGATGTAAAGGTAATGTTTTGAAGAGTCTCTGTGATCTTTAGATAAATATTCCAGATTGAGACAAATATTTCTTTCTTATCGTGCCATTATCTTATTCTTTAATATGTAATATGTTTGCTATGAAGGTGTTAGTAACATACCTTTTGTAGCACAGTGTTATTATAGCACCCCCTAGGTGCATTAGCCATGGACCTCCTGGAATTCAGCTTGCATGAGTAGAAGAGATCAACTGGGAACTTTTTTAGGAAAAAGGAAAAGGGCAATTGCACCACCACCCACCATCTCCTTCACCCCTCTCAGCAGTAAGAGGCTGTATGGTACCCATTTCCTAGCTTTAACTCCTCATTATTCTAAACTCCCTATCTGGCCTCAGGCTTTTGTGATTCCTGTCTTACCCAAAGCAGAAAGTACAAACATCACTTACTTCATCAACAAATGGGCCCTTTGGCGGCAGGTTTTCATGAAGAAAGGTATCTCGACGGGTACATTTAGGCCTAATTAGATGTCTTGTTGTAGAAACAGAGCATCCGCACAGTTAACTTTCTTACTAACAGGCTTAGCCATTAAAGGAAAATACAATTATAAATTTGGCAAAGGTTACCTCAACAGCTGGTTTGCTTTCATGAGAAAACATTCCTTAAAGCAAGCTGTGTTTGTTTGGTTTTGCTCTTAGAGACGTATTACTCCACAATGCTCGATTCTGAAAAAAAACCCGATCTCATTGCATATGACCAATTATTGAGTGCATTGTTGCCATTATACTATATTCCTATGTATACTTCTGCAGCCACTTAAGGCGTTGGTTTCAGTGTGGTAATGAATCAAAGTGAAGCTGGTTTCAGCTTTCAAAGTTACCCACGGAAAAATGCATATGAATTTTAGCACACACAAGCCACTATCTGTCCACATGGCACCTAAAGGAACTGCTCCCTTGCCAAAGCACAGCTGGTGAGATGAAACTGAGTCTCAGTCGGAAAGGGAGCAGCACTGTGAATTTTGGGTTAAAGTGCGTTTTTGATTGGTTGCAGTGGTTCCTGGCTCGGCCTCTTTCGTGCTGGGAGAGAGCACCATGGGATTCTTAAATGAAGCACTGGTGGCTGTCCAGAAATATACTCCATCAGCTTGTTGGTCCAGCTGGTTGAAATAACTTGTAGATGAAATAACTTGTAGATGATTTATAATTACTAGCAGTGAGACATGAGACCAAAACATATTGCTGATGCCGATTAGACCAATACAGGACTGGCCTGAGGTTTTCTTCTAGAAATGTCTGTAAAACATACACGTCAGGGGGCCGGGCAGGACTGAGCTCAGCTTAGGAATTAATCGCAGAGGATGTGGTGCCTTTGTCTTAATGCAAGGTTAATTGTTCTGTTTTTGGTTTGTGACAGTTTTATAACCCATTGAACTGTATTGCATAACAGTGGAGTGTAACCCTCTTAAAACAAATTTGTTATAGCAAACATTTTAGTGCGAATCATGAAAGAAGGTCGTTTAAGGAGCTTTGGAAATGTTATGAGAAAATCTTGTGGATATACTATTTTATAGAGTTTTGTGTAGAAATATAGTTTTTAGTTTCCATGAGATTCTACTTACATAAGTATCTTCTTTAAAAAAAAAAAAAGTTATACATTAAACTGCCCCAAAGTGTAAAAATTCTGTATTCTTATTAGTTAAAGGTTAAACTTTGCCATCTGCAACATTATAATTTATAAGTTTTGTATATAGCATATTTACTAGCAAGTGCTATTTTGTTGTAAGTAATTTTATTTGTGATTCAAGTATCTTAAATTTAATCCCTCTGTGCTTTGGCTTTAACAAAGTGTATTTGCTTTGTTGCTTGTTATTCATATCCGTCGATACATAATAAAACCTCCACAACAGCACTAGTTTGGTCACAAAATTACAGAATTAAGTGGTGTTTTTTTCCGTATCTGAATTCCTGAATAGTTTGTTTTTGTTTCTGTTTCATACCAATCTGTAGTTTTTGCTCTGATGTCTGTCTCAACTCCCAGAATATTTCTCAGTGTTATTTGTCTTGTCCATCAGTTTGCTGCTGCACTCGTCTCCCAGTCTTCCCACACATGTTTTGTGCATGAGGGTGGAGTGTGAGGATCACACTGTTTATATTTGAATGGCAGTGTGTGATGAGCAATAGATGGTGGTGTACAAAGACTGCTAATCCTGAAGCTTGGGGAAACTCTCTGATGTGGAGGAACTTGAAAGTAAAAGGGCAGCAGCCTGGGACCCAAAGGGATCCTTCACTATCATTACATGCGATCATCCAGAAGCTAGGGGGGTTGAGGCAGAGATACAGGGAACCAGGCAGGGCAGTGACTGGGCCACGGAGTTGAGGCGTATGCTGGGTCCCCAGTGGGTGGTCTACAGCTACCCCCTCCTTACTACCACATCCCATCCTAATAGCACAAATACTGGACTTTAGGAACCCACAGTTAGTGGGCCATGCTATTTTCCATGGTGAAATGTGCATTTAGACATCTATGCAACTTCTAATATGTCTTCATGACAGACATTTTTAGCCTCTTAAACTGTACAGGGTGCTGTATGACATGTTTGCATCAGTGGACTAGTTGTTGTGGTTTGTTCCAATCTTGGACATATATGCAAACTAAGAAATAAGCAGGCAATGAATGCATGAGAAAATCTGCCATTTACCCTGCTTTTTCTTTGCACAGTTTACATAGTTTTGAGTCGTGTTTTGAAGCCTCATTAATGATTCTAATGATCTTCTGCTTAACAGACACATGAAAGAAGTTTTTTTGTTTGCTTGTTTTTTTGTTTTTCAAATACACCCTGACAAAACTGCAATACTGGAAAAATCCACAAAAACAAAAAGCTGCGCCTGCTTATGTAACTGAAGTGATCCACTAAACAAATCCTGACTGATGTTTTCTGTCACTTACTTCCATTAAATAGTTTGCATCTACAAGGTGCGTGGCAGGCAGCTGAAAAACACTTTCTCCTGCCCATTACAAAAACCTATTCCAGCATGAAATGAGATCAAGTTCAACTGGGAATTAATAATGGATGACTATTGTATTATCTATGTAGGTCTCTATGGTTCATTCGCCTCTGAGAAAAGACTCTGGGTTATGTCTGTGTAATACTGCAGGATACCCCCATAGGTACTGGAGGTCAGGGCAATCCCCCGGCTCTTCTCATGCTAGCACTGAGACGCAGGTTCAAAAACACTCTTTCAGATAAAGTATAGAAGGAATGGGTATAGGACCGAATGCAGGAATAAGTCAATTAAAAAGCAATTACCGCTGTTTTTATTGGAAGAATTTAATGGGAATTAAAATAAAATAAATAAATAATATTTCTTCAAGATTGATGGCCTTAACTAACTTTCGATAGTGCCTCAAAAGACACGTTCATTCTATTCATTGTAGTTCTCATAGGCTGGTTTAGTAAGGTAACAGAATATAAAGGAAGAGGGCATGTATATGTCTATCTCCTGCATTTATCTGTGTGACTGTCATGAGAAGTGCTGTATAAATAACACGGTAAATCAGTGTCACTGCAGTAATAATTACAGTGAGAGACAATTCATATTTTTAAAGGGTTTAATTAGAACATTTTAAATCTTTATTCTGTTTAAAACACGAGGAATGTTTAAATGACTGTGCTGTAAAAAAAAGAAGAAGAAGAAGAATGCAAATGGGTCGACTTTATTTTAAATATCTATAAAAAGGTAAAAATAAAACTTTCATTACAATTTGTTGTTCAATAAAAGTTTTTTAGCCAAACAAGTGTTTGTGTTTTTCAGAAACTATACTTAGCTTAGACGTTTTGAGAGGAAAAGGGGATTCCATTACAAAGTAGACAGATTTCGTAAAATTACAGGGACAAAAACAATTTTATTGAGAAGTATAAGCAGACCAGTGCGTTGGTGAAAGTACTGAAATAGACCTTTTGCAAAATAGACTGTAATCTTATCATGTCAGCATGTTGCTCATGCGTAAAAATGACTAATGTCTTACTAACATTTATTATTTTTATTATTATTATTATCATAACAAATATATGATAAAGTGTTTTCTTACAAAAGGACATTTTTTAATCTTTAAAAAAAATGCGCACTCAAAAAAAAACACATTGGAGGACTGGTAGGGTGTATCTCATTTAGTTTAATTTTATTTTTAGAAATGACGCCAAATATATGTGTGTAACGCCACTTTCTCTTTATTGCAGATCATCCTCAATTCGATGCACAAGTATCAACCGAGGATTCACATCGTGAAAGCGGATGAAAATAATGGCTTTGGTTCCAAAAACACGGCCTTCTGCACTCACGTCTTCCCGGAAACATCTTTCATTGCGGTGACATCCTATCAGAACCATAAGGTAAAACTTCGGGGTATTTTTGGATATTTTTATTCATTTATTTTCGCGAAAGGGGAAGCTTTGGGTTTACGTATTTTATGGGGTGGTTAAAATTCCACAGTGTTTCAAACGGAGGTAAATATAAAGAGGGAAAAAAATCAGTTGTGCAAACAGAACCATGCAGCCTGTTGCGCTCTCAAAAATGCCCCCGGTGCAAATGCAGGATTTTGCAAAGGTCGATTTCACATTGAAGTTATTTTTGAAAATGTGTTTATAATTTTTGCGCAAATTATTTTTAATAATATTTGTTTGTCATTTTTTTATGCAGCTCTTGGTCTTCTGTTGGATCAAAGGAGAGGGGAAATAATAGCTCTTTGAGAGTTTAAAGTTTTTCACTGAAAATCGCTGATATTAAACTCAGCTGCTGGCAGATTAAAGGAAAACTTCAGATTCCTGACTAGAACACGTTTCACAAACCCAAGTCCGTGGCATGAATTTATTATTAAAGATTTCGTTGGAGATAAATTACTACCTACTTTGAAACAGTTCTAGTAATTATTTTTTAAATTCATTTGTTGGTGTTTTATTTTCAGTCTTTTTCAGTGTAGATGAGACTATTACTGCATGCTTTATTTCGAAGCTCTCCTTACGCATTGCTCGTATATATACGCGCAAAAACAGATCTCAGTCTAAAAACTTTGAAGATTTAATTACATATACCCGCACAAGGGAAACCAGATTTTACATATGCTATTCAAATGTTTGCCTTTTTTCATTTATTTTCTAAGCTTCACTTTCTCGGTTAACGACGGAGCTTTAATTAACATTATTGAGTTGTAAATTAAGTTTCTTACCGTGTTTAATTGGAAACAGAAAACCTTGGAATCACCCTTGTTTTTCACGTATCTGGAATCTGGAAACTTATAACATCAGATTAGAGTTAAATATGTGATTTCTTGTACCGCACAGCCTCGTATTTTCTTTTTGTTTTGTTTTTTTAAAGTCGCCATTGCGTTTTCAGACTTGTGAAAGTAGCAGGAATAAAATTCAATATTTACACTGTCTACATTTCTGGGCGAGGGGAAACAAATCTTGGGAATACAAATATCTGCAAACAGCATCTGTTTAACATCCTTTAACCATGCAGGCCTATATGTTTTTAGTTTGGGGAATATGGGAGAAAGGGGCGAAAGCTCATAATGTCCCCGCAGCCAATCCAGGTCTCCGGGCTTCTGGGAACAGGAAGCACAAATGACCAACATTCTGTAGAAACCATTCATTATTTTCGAGCCTGTTACTAGGGGCTGAGATCGTAACTGCGGGCTAATTATTAGGGCTTTCCAGACCTGCAGGAAAGAAAGGGGCATTTCGGGTTTCGAGGCTCTTGTTTTTTTCTTGCCACATTTGTCTAATCAAACAGTTTTAAGCCTGCCAAAAGGAGTGGGCTACGAGCTGCAGGCATGTGTCCAATTCACCTGTTAGACTCTCAGCTAATGAAATGGTCAAAGTCTCTGGTTTCAGCTCTTTCCTGTCGTAGCTGTAATTAAAGCATTTTTTCCAGAAACTGAGGTTTCTGGAGTGGTATGTTTTCTTAAGATTTTTGTCTAACTGGGAAGATGAATTAAGACCAGCTCATAGTTTTGTTCTTTTCTTTTTTTTAAAAAAAAATCTTACTTGAACTACTTCACTTCATTTTGCATCTGGAAATGTGTTTATGTCAGCCTCAGTTATTTTAATGAGCACAGTTTGGACACAGCCTAGTCAAACTACAGTCTTTGAATTTCGACTCATTATCAGAGTCTACTCTCAAATTATTTTTTTCTGTTTTTCCTCCTTTCTGCTAATCCTATTCAGAACAAAATCTTTTGTAAAATATTTAATTTTCTCTCTGTAAACTCAGCTGAGAATAAGATTGTTGGACTGGATAATTATTTGTCTAGGTGTATTTTTGGAAGACATGCAGGGGGGTAGAAAGGGCAAAATAGACTCTGAACTTTTAATGCCAAACTTTTAAAATGATGAGACAGTGTATAAATGATCTGACAGACAGCTCGTATTAACAAGAAGCTAGCGAAGTGTCACATGAGAGATTTTACAAGGTTTGCTGAAAGTGTCAGCCAGCGTGCACACAAACTTCCAGTCTTGTCAAAAAGCTGGAAGCACACGAGAGCTGCCAGCTAATTACCTGCCAGAAACCACTGCTCACGAGAGGGATATCCCGGGATTGGGTTAAACCACTCTGGGATTAACGTATTGTTTATGGGTGGCTCTGAAAGTAATTTCTGTTTCTATTTGTTTGGTATTGATAGAGACGTTTTTTACCAAAACATTAAGTCATAGAATAAGTCTCATGATTTGTATCTGTCATGCACGAGCCAGCTATCTCCTAAGCTAGACATCATCTAATGTAACATCATAAATTAAGCAATGAAAGATGATTTATATAGACATGTTTTTATTGAACTATTGCACTCAGGAACTCAGCTCAGAAAGTATCTCAGGTTTCTGGAAATATGATCTGTTATTTCACTCTTGGGTAGCTTGTGAACACTTACATGCATCCAAAAAAACCCCGTAAAGCCCCGGTTTTCTCCAAAAAATATGTTTAATATTGTCATCATAAAACCCCTGAGTTGAAGAGGACTTGTCTTGTCTGACAGTCTGGCACAGGGCGAAATGCTGCTTTTAAATAGCTGCTATTTCAATGCATGTGTGGGTTGGCTGTAAATGGGTGCTTTTAAACGCAGCTGACAATGAAATGACATAAGCAGCACAACAATTGACTCTTACTGCAACAGTGTATGTTACTGACACTTTGTGTGTTTGCTCTTACAGATAACCCAGCTGAAGATCGAGAACAACCCATTTGCAAAAGGATTCCGTGGTAGCGATGACATGGAATTGCACCGGATGTCCAGAATGCAAAGGTAAATGTGGGAAAAAAAAACAATCAAAATGCACGTTATTCTTGCTTGCTTTTCTTTTTCTTTTCTTTTTTTCCTTTCATAGATCCTGCTTCTGACATATGGAAATACTGACCCATACTAAATGTTGTGAAATGAGTAGATAAATGTTACCTCAATTAGGCAGGGATTACTGACATCCTGGTCACACTGTCACTTAACGAGCCCCACTTTAATCCCTCAATCACCCAAATGCAAACCAGTCGTATGTGTTATTTTCAGTGAGTGTTATTTTCAATGATGTAAGTGTAGTTCTTGATAGTCAGCCAGTTTTCATGCTGAAGACTTTTATGGCTGATCTGGCAGAACCTCTGAAACACAACTGTAACATCTCTCTTCCATAGAGCTCTTTCTACCAGGATGTTCCAACTTCTTATGTGGACTGTGCTGTGTGTGTGTGTGTGTGCGGTGTATATATGTGTGTGTTGGTGGTGTGTGTGGGGGGGGCACGCATTTGTGCTGAACTGGTGGTATCTCTTGGTCAGGCAGCCAAGGCACTACACGACCACATTGATCTCTCCCCTCCCTCGCTCTATTATTCAGTCCAGATGAGGAATGGAGCATGAGTCCGTACTGCATGGAAAACACTTTTTCAAAGGAGAAAATCTGGTTTTGAAAAAAACACAACCCCCTTTGGGCAGCCAGTTCAGACTCTATGTGAATTCAAATGAGGAGGGAAAAAAAATCCCAGATCAGACCAAACAGGAAAAGTTGTTTAGCGTTTCCATAAGGTGTCAGAAGAATGCATCCACTCTAAAACCTTCACTCTAATGCACAGAATAATGATCAAGTACCTCACAATCAGTGTTGCAGCAAAAAAAGAAGTAGCTTTATAAAAAACTGCATGCCTGATTGTACTAGACGCACGTTAAATTTCTTTAAGTAGGTGCGTTCCACGAGCTAATGAAATGCATTTCAGCTATCAAAACTTGTAAATCTATAGAAGCTGGTGAGAGTCCAAACCACACTATCAATCTTTCATGCCTTTGTCCAATCCTGCAGAGGACAGTAAGCAATGCACGTCTGCTCTTGGTTACAATATCAAGGGGAGAGCTTATTGCAAAACCAGGTCAGGTTTTCAACTGAATCTACCCCTGAAATCAAAGAACTAAAAATAGCAAAATGATCTATTGATGGATCCTGAGGATTTATAGGGGCGAAATACATCCTGGTATTTTGGACTGAATATTTTCTTTTTTACGTTTTTCTCTGTGTCCTAAGTTGAAGTAAATCACTGATGGTGATCCTCGTTGGTTGTCTTTGAGAAATGATCTTATGATGAAATGCGGAAGATTAAAATAGTTCTGCTTTGTTGACAGCAAATTATAGTTGAAGATAATAACTAACAACGGTGATCGTTTGTGTGTGCACGTAGTACCAAGGAGTATCCAGTAGTGCCTCGCAGTACAGTGCGGCAGAGAGTGGGTTCCAGCCAGAGTCCATTTAGCGGGGAGGTCCAAGGCCTGGCCACACCAAACAGCCTGAGCTCCCAGTACTCCCAGTGTGAAAATGGTGTCACAAGCAGTTCACAGGACATGCTGCCCCAGTCGGGTTCCTACCCCCTGCCTCATGAGCATGGCCAAGAGTACCACTGTATCAAGAGGAAAGGTAGGTGACTCTAATATGGAGACTAGTCTAGAAGAGGGTAGATTGGGGTTTTTTCAGTAGTCACTCTCCATACATTGTTCTTAGCTATAACACACTTTGTTTCTATGTTTCTAAATTGTATCTTTCGTTTATAATAGTTTTTTAAATAAATGTTTATTCTTGAACACATCATGTGTGTACATGAAGATTTGTAAACTAAAACAAGTGATGTGAGATGTGTTACGTTAAACAAAGAGTAATTTAAAATATAGTGTCTGCTATTTAATATTGCTATATGTCATGTACAACCCCAGTTCTAGAAAATCTGGAATTTTGTGGAAACACAAAATGCTTTTATTGGAAAGCCTAATAAAGCTACATTTTCTTCACAGTAGAACATAGGAAACATGTCAGATGTTTAAACTGAGACATTTCAACATTTCATGGAAAAATACAAGCTCGTTATGAATTTGATGGCAGAAACATGTCTCTAAAAAGTTGGGATGGGACAACAAAAGGCTGGAAATGGAAGTGTTACAAAAAAGAAACAGCTGGAAAGGAAAATGAGGAAAATTTTACATAAGATCCTAATTAGGCTAATTTGCCAGAGGTCAGTAACATGAGTGGAGATTAAAACAATAAAAGAGCATCCAAGAGAGGCAGAGAAGCCACATCAGCAACAAAATGCATGTACAAATTAGGAGCAATTTCAGAATAGTGTTCCTGAATGTAAAGCTACAAAGACTTTAAAAGTCTCATCATCTACAGCCCTACTGAATCAAAAGATCCGTAGAATCTGAAGAAATCTCTGTGTGCAAGCAACAAGGCCGAAGATCAATTGGATGCCTGTGATCTCCGGGCCATCAGGCGGCACTGCATTAAAAACAGGCATGATTCAGTCATGGAAAAAAATTGCACTTCTAGAAATCATTTTCTGTGAAAAGAGTTCATTGGACCATCCAGAGTTAAAGGTCTATCATGGAAAGAAGTACCCATAAGTGAACATGATCCAGAAGCATTGCTGTCTTCTCTGAGCCAAGGCTCATTTAAAATGGACCCAGGCAAAATGGAAAAGTGTTCTGTGGGCAGATGAATTTAAATTTGAAATTATTTTTGGAAAACATGGATGTCAAATACTGTGAATGAAGGTGGAGAATGGCTGTAGAGGCAAAGCCTAGGCGTTAAGCACGGTACAAATCTCAGAAGCCTTCATCTCTCATCGTATGGACATGCATCAGTGCCTATGGAATTGGCAGCTTGCACATCTGGAATGGCACCATCAGTACTGAAAGGTAGATACAGATTTTACAGCAATTATGCTCCAATATATTTAGCACAACAATGCTAAACCTGAACTGTATCTATTACAACAGTATGGCTTTATAGAACAAGAGTCCGGCTGCTCAAACAGGCTCTGTGCAAAAACAGAACTTCATTCCTCTCCTAAAAGTTCAGCAGCTGATCTCCTGAATTCCCTCATATGTACAGACTGTTGTTAAAGAAGAGGGGATGCTACACAGTGGTAAACATAGCCCTGTCCCAACTTTTGTGAAACATGTTGCTGCCATCCAATTCAAAATGAGCTTTTCTTAATAGTTTTCTTAATGTGGCACATGTTCTCAGTTAATCATTTGACATGTTTTCTGTGTTCTACTGTAAATTAAATACCGGTTTATGAGATCTGCAAATTATTGCATTCTGTTTGATGACAGTTTGTATTTTCCATCTCTTGAATAACACAATTGCTCACCTTTCTAATTCCACCTGCAGTGGATGATGACTGTCACTCAGGAGATCACAGCTACAAGAAAGCATATCTGGAGAGCTCATCGAGTGAGGAGGACCATTACTACCGCCCTGTTGGCTACGCTCAGAGCCTCAGTCTCTCCGGTGGGCCTTACCGCAGCGAGTCTAGCCAGCGGCAGGCCTGTATGTATGCCAGTGCCTCACAAAGCGCTGAGCCTGTTCCCAGTTTGGAAGACATCAGCTGCAACACTTGGGCCAGTGTATCACCCTATGGTAGCTGTTCTGTCACCACCATGCAGCCCATGGATCGACTGCCCTACCAACACTTCTCCGCTCACTTCACCTCAGGGTCTCTGGTGTCCAGACTAGGTGGGGTGGGAGGCCACGCCTCTCCACAGCTAGGTGATGGCCACCACGCTGCAATGTACCAGAGCTCTATGACCCATCAGACTCTGGGCCGCCAATGCAGTCCCGGGGCTGGGATCCAATCACCAGCAGCCAGTCTGCAGGGAAATGAGTACCTGTATACACATGGCATACCACGTACACTATCACCACACCAGTACCACTCTGTACATAGTGTAAGCATCATGCCAGAGTGGAGTGAGAACAGCTAAAGAAG